TAGTTAACTTTCAGCCACACAAGCCTCTTATTTCAGAATGTTCACTTTGTCTGGTTTTGTTGCAGCATGCCCCATATTAATATAGTAATATTGGTACCCACAAAATTTTTTTATTATCAGACTGTAAAATTGTCAGTGCACCAAATTCCATAAAGATACTTAATAGAAAGCCTGCCACATATTTTGCCACAAGTGGGCAAGCCCATGAAAATTGGGTAAAGTGATAACTTGTATTTACAATTCATTTACAGTCCCATATGAACTATTCTATTAGTTTAATCTAAAATTGGGGCAGACTGCAACAAAACCAGACAAAGTGAACATTCTATAAAGGAAAGGCTGATTATGATGTGGCTGTAAAATTGACCAGTGTGACTGATGACGTTTTGAAAAGTAATAATAGTGCTCATTTATATTTATGGACTTGTCAATTTTAATTTCACTTTATCATACCAGAATGTGATAAATATAAACCATAACAGGATTAATATACGATTACCTCTATATTAATATATAAAAAAATATTAAATACACTATGGAACCCAAGAATTACAGCACCATTAGAAGTATTTAAAAAATTTACTTTCTATTTCTTAATTTTGATCAAGGTCATTTTTTAGCATCCTTGCCGGACCTGAGAGGGAAAACCGCCGGCTGACGAAAATGGTTGACATCCGATTAGTAGTGAGATCTACAAGCAATTAGTGGTCGACCGTTTGGAGAAAAAGGAGAAATTGAAAGAGGAAGTTATGGTAATGATCAGAAAGTTTTTGAGAATGCAAAAAGTTATAATGCCGAGACATGAAAAAGGGAACCAGACTGCATAGAAAACTTAAAAAAGAAGGAAAAAAATAATTTAGATTGACGGCTAAAAATATTTTTTGAAAACCAATGAAGAGATAAAGTTAAAGAAAGTGAAATAATTAAAACTAACCAAACTTAGAGGAGGTTGCAAAAAGGCTTTTAGAAGTAAAAAAAATTATACTTATTGCAAATATTGTGGCAATCTATTATGCAGCCATATAATAGAGCATGACTGTATCCAAAATCCAAAGTATAAGGATAATTTTAATTTGAGCAATTTGAGCAATTTGACCATTTTGTTGCTCTTCTAAGTGTTGGTTTTACCCAGACAGGTGGAGATCAAACGCCGAACAAGGAAAGAGTTGCAAGAACCTATAAATGAGTTTTAAAATTATTGGAATTTGACCGTGTTAATGAATTTCTCTTTTACGGGGTAGTGTGAAGAAGGCCCCTTCGGGAAACTGCGAAAGTCCCATCACCCGTGATAAACCCATGTTGCGGGGGGGGGGGGTTGGTACATCGATTAGCTAGCGAAGTTTATCTAACAGGATGAAAATAAGGGTTTCCAGCGAAATTGTTCCAGCGGCTATTACAATATGGGACAGATAATTTTGTTCTTTCAAGAATTCTATAATCAAATTAACTTTTTTTTTTGAATTCTTTTACTATCTTTTGTTTTTGCTTCTTTGTCAATCTCTTAATTTGCTTTATTTTATCGTTTTTTAATTTTTCTCATAATTATCTAATTTTTTTTTCAATTGGTCAGTCTCTATGCTTTGTTCAATAATAGTGCAATCTCTTTTCATATTCTCTACAAAAACTAAAACTTTTCTATCATGTCATTCTTTGGACTTGTCTAGCGCTTTCAAATTATACTCAATTTTAATTTCCACTCTTCCTCCTAATTTCTTATTTTTGCTTTCCAATTCTGTTATCTGACTTTTAGCATCTAAAGATTCTTCTCCCTCTAAACGGTGAGCAGCGCTCATAAGGTCTCATAACATTTATTCAAGCTTAAGTCAAAGCCTCACTTGGTTTTTTGTTTATTCTCTTTGCTTAACCAACCATTACTTTTTCATATGCTCATTATCATGGTTGGCATACAATGAAGTGAATTTACTTAATAGAATATAGTAAAGTTTTCCAAATTACCATTATTATCTACATTAGTCGTTTATTTATATTATTAGTATTAGTCACTGTACTGTTTAAAGTGAGTATTTAAGGAAATTCCGCATAAAGTCAGACCAAATTTTGTATATCAACTAATAAATTTAAAGATCGAAGTGGACATTAAGGAGACTCGACTATACATAGAAATAGCTCAATGTTTTATGTAACACGAATAGCATATGGGGATATTAATGAGTCATGGTCATAATAGATTTTCATAAGATACTAATACAGGAAATTGGGGTATCAAAATATTGGGGATAGGGATATAACTGAGTGGGATACAACTGAGGGAAATTTATATGGAATTAAAATAGGGGAAATCCGTCCAGCGTGAAAGATGGGTTATATCCGAGGGTGGGATACAATAGGGGGGGGATACAAATGAGGGATGACTGTACTTCCCCATAGACTTTAAATTAATGCAATGTTCAAGAACTCTTACATGTTTAGCAACTTTTTAGAGTCTTAATGTCAAATTTATCCAATCGTAAAATGTTTATCATTGGCTCGATAAACTTTCGGTATGTGCAACGTATTAATATTAGATAATTTCGAGCTTGGGAATAAGATCAGGCGTGCATTTATAGAGGATGTGACAATACGTTGCGCATGTGTTTGTCAGCAAGAGAAACCAAATTATAAACATCGGGAAGAACAGTACCCTATGACTCTAGGAGAAGATGAAACTGAACTGTATGCTATATTCAAGCAAGCGAAATCATATAAAGGAACTGAATGAACATGTGACCTGCTTTTCTTGTTTGAATCGCATTTAATATTAATAGGCATCTACATACTTTTTTTGCCACAGTGTTTTTGTTGATCAAAAACCCTTGTTACTTTCATCGCATTTCCTGTTCATTCTCGGACGCTTTAGGTGGAGTATAAGTATAATTCCATCCGGACAAGGGTGGTGTTTCTGTGGGAATTTTCATTTGTTTCGGAAATCTTGTGTTGGGTTGCATAGACTGAGCTGCTTTAAATAAAGTAAGACTCGTTCGTTCTAGTTCTCTATTCGCCTGCTTCATCTTTCTGAACTTTGCTTGTAACTCGCGCTCCCGAGCCTCTCTCCTATTTCTCATTAATAACTTCCATGCACGTTCAATTATCTCATGTCTTTCCAACTCCTCCTCTGTCATCGGTGGCATCTCAGTCTTTGGGGTCTGGTATAGAATTCGTTTCATGATTTCATATCGAGAGTCAGCCGGCGCTTGGACAGCTTTCTTGGGCGTCTTTGTTTTCTGCTTCTGTGCCAGTTTCTGAGCTGCTTGTGGTGATATCTGCTTTTTTGTGCGGGCACGGAGGAGGAACGATTGGGGGCGAATGGTTGTCAATGGACTCGTGCGGAAAAGGAAAGGCATTCTGAATGATCAAAAGCTTTCAATCAAATATTAACGTTAAGAACTACCCCAAGATCTTCAGAAATTGGTTATAGTAACGTGACCGTATGTACGACGTCTTCAGCCAGTCATCTAGAAGGAAACATTTGGCGTCATAGTGTTTTATGGCAGTTAGAAACCTTGTAAAGCGTGTCAATAAACAAAGAAGTCTGTACATTGGGCTGAAAAATTTGAAGACAGGTCGAGAGGAGTTATTAGGGGATAAAGACTGTAATAACAAGACCGATAT